CCTCAGGGTTGCGAGGCCGGCGTGGGACAAAAGCTATGCTTCGCAAGATTGCAGATTAAGGGGTCTGATCTCATGGTTGTCGAACTTTAGCAGATGCAGCACGCAACGAAGGCCCTCCCCACGTCCTACTGACGTGGCAAGAGCTCTCCTGTGCTGAGGTACCGGGCACACAATGTGCGAGGCACGCTCAGCGAAGTGGCTGAGTGGGCCGAAAGTTGTGAATGGCGGGTGCGACAGGCACAACGCAGTGTACAGCTAAAAAGGCCTCCGTCTTCCATGCGCACATTGCATTTTCGAGCATGCGCCTTCCAAGAATCACACAGAGCTCAAAATGGATCTGCTCCCCTGCACCGTTGGGCTCACGGTGGAGCACGAGCGGCCCACACTAAAGAAGTCACCACTAGGTCTTTAATCAGTGGCACAGGGAGCGACTGGTCTCGTGCTTGCATCACCTCTCCCAGTGCTTGGAAGATAACCCCTCATGATGACTGTCAAGATATTGGTGACGAAAAATTCGAAAGTGGTAACTCTGGAAAATCAAGACTATCCTTCTTGTGCATGTTGACGTCTCTTCCTTGTCATAGATTCAATAAATGCCATGTTATCCAAACGCTTCACCCCTTTGGGGAAGTTGCGAGACTTTTTTAGCACATCCGGATCTGTCTTGAAGGCCGCCGACTGCTTTGCTCGCTTCTCATTCGGCATCACCTGTGGGGCGGGCAGACTGCAACAGTGCACCACCCGGATACGGCCATAACTGTTTCCCTGCGTTGTCGGAGAAATTGTGCCGTTCGATGTTGCCACATACAAGTATATACAGAGTTGAGTGTAGCTTCCACGCCAACGGATTTGCAGACACTGGTACCGCAACATACCAGACCTGTACATGAAGGGTCTTTGCCAGGACTCTCATCCCTCGCAGGCATGTTTGAAACTAAACCGTTCACATGTCATACCGAAGATATCTCATAGAACTGAGGTCGAGAATTTGGCATCGCATCGTGACATTGTGTGGACCCTGCGATCTGTATGGCCTTCCCCAGCACGTGTCACGCTCTGCATGGCGACTGCAAAATAGCAGTATCGGGCTTCTGGGATTGTGGCTTTGAGCACGGGGCCGCGTTTTGCTGGATGTTGGGAGGTGCTGTCATGCCTCACAGCCCTTAGCTGGTGTTAAAGCGATAAACATGTGCATGTTTGTTGCCGACCACTGTTGCCCAAATGCACCAGCTGAACCGAAGGCTTGCACAAAGAAGTTGCAACAAACACTGCGTGCTGTGCGCATGCCGGCAGCCACACAATCCGGAAGCCGCACCTTCACCCGAGCTCGGGTCGCGCATGTGACTTAAACCCTCAACCTTACCCGGATCCCTCTTTCTTCAGCTGCACGGGTGCTCCTGTGGTGAAACTCTTGTCCGTCAGCCTATGGCTTCGAGGCTTTCAGACCACGTCGTCGAGGAGGAAGACTGCTTCCTTTCTGCTTCGTGCATGCGATTCTTGTCAGGGAGTTTTGCAATGCTTTCGGGCTTCAGCTTGAGTGGATTTTGCTGACAGGCCTTGGAGGCTCGGGGCTTGTTTGGCGAGAACAACATGGAGATCTCGGGGCCGCTTGGTTCAAGCAGGCTATACAGTTGAAGGGCTTCAGCAGGAAAGCACTGCTTCCGAGTGAAATCATGCAAGTCGAAGATAGTATCCGCAAGCCTTGCAATCCTTGCCCTGCCCTGTTCTGTTTCTATCTGTTCTTTCTGTTGATCGCAGCCTATCCCACCCGAAGACTGTTGCATCATGTGCAGGGCAGAATGTAACTTCAACCATTCAAACCTCTGTGGACTAGGCCTCCTCGGGGGTGAGCTCTCGTCTCTGCGCGAGGACCTGGGTCGCCACGTGGAGATGGCGCTGAGACACCGAGAATGAAGCTGCTTGCTTACTACCCGAACTGTCTCTTGGTTTGGGCTCAATTGCAACCACAGCAGCTTGAGTTCTCAAGAGGAATCACCTGGTCCTCAGCCCTGTTAATTCCCAGAGATCTTCCGACTGCAATCGAATCCAAACAGTTCAACAACCCCATGCAGCCAATGGGAACAGCTACACGCGATTGAAACCCCAAAACGCGACCCTGACCGGTGTCGCGTTGACACGAAGAAACTAGGCTCAGTGGCTTAGTAGCACAGCAACGGTGGGCCCGTGCACCAACAGATAAACACTTCAGCTTGAAAAGGTCAAGGACATAGAGGCCGAAACAGCTTGAACATGCACCCTTGAAAAAGGCAGGATGTGAGGAACGTGCTTGGCAAACAGGCTTCGCTACCGTTGCCAGACAATCAGCGCCCCAACCCCCAAAACCAAATTCTAGACTCTGCCCCACCAGGTTTAAGCCATGGCACGCAGAGAGCGAAGAGTCCATAGGCGGCCGTAATGGCCAAAATCTTGGCTGCGTCCAGAGGTCCGGGAGATTTAAGCGAAAGGGCTCTCGTTTCTTACCTGTTTTTGGCTAAGGGACGCCAGCAACCCAAATCTGGACCCTACATAGTAGGAGCCTGAGCATAGCGACGCTCTTCAGGGCTCAACCCTCAGGTTGGCTACGTCTGAGTCCAGAGGGGTTTCTTCTGCGAATCGAGCGTGCCTTGAGTCTTGCAACGCGGACAACACAAAAACGTGCATGCCCCGAGAGGGTTTAGGAGTTTAGGGTTGAGGGGTTTACGGCTTCGGGCCGGTTCCGACTCCGTGTGTCATCACGCTCTAAGCACGGCATTCGTGCTGGACTTCTCTCAAATTCTTGGGCACTTGTCGATTTGTGGACAAGGTCTTCTTCTGTGACGGTGCTGCGCTGAACTTGCAAAATACAAGTGCTCCAAGACGCCGTGGTCGTCAGTAGTCGAATCACGAAAGCCTACGCACTAACACCACCGGATGCCGAAACCTGGAACCTCGACATCCTCGTAACCTCAAAACCCCTGACAGACATGCTGCAGAACGTATCAAGACTGCAAACTGAACCCCACAAGATCTGGCAACCCAACCCCTTGGCGCCGAAACGATCTGCTCGCAAAAACTGCATGTAAAGAACGCGCCGAAACCGCTGTGCAGCTAAGCAGATCTGACAGATTTTGGAGGGCGCCGGGCATTCGCATTGGTTCTGGATGTTTTCTCAAATTGTGAAAAGATTTTGCAAAGGCTCCGCGGTATCCCCTTGGCGGTCCTTACCGTCTCGACACTTGGATTTTGAGTGCAAGACATTGTACACTGGGATTCCCATAGCAGCATAGCTCAATCCGCTGAACCCTGTGCCTGACTTGCGCCGTGAACCACCCAGCTCAAATGTCGAACTCCTGGAAATCCCAACCATCAGCTGCCGACCCGTTCGACGAAACTAACTGAAACTTTTGACTCTGCTCGAACTGAAACCCAATACACCAAAAGTCGTTCGAAGAACTTGATCGCAATGGAGTGTTTTTGGAAACACATCCTTACTAAACCCTAAACCCTAAATTGAAATCCCTCTGGCAACACAAACAAGCGCACTTTGGCTCTACTCTGCTCTCCAAGATGCGATCTCCGCGGAGTGAGGCGCCCGATACCAAACAAAGGGCTCGGACTCCTGCCAAGTGAACAGGCCGTGTCATTGGGGTTTTTGAAAAATACTGGGTACCTTGCGTGAGGGTACTTCATTTTTAGACTTCTAGTCTGCATGAGGGTAGGGGCACGTACTTTCTAAAACTACCATGTCGGCTCGCATCCAGGACCGCTCGAGAACGGGCCCTAAGACAGAACGAAGCTTGGAAGATCCCTGACATTGCTTCCAAATCCCTTGGTTCGGTGCGCTTTCAACGGAGTGGGGACCTGAATTGGGCTCCAGAACTACAAGCAGCCGATGCTCTTCATTTCCTTAAGTCGCTCGGAATGATGTTTCATTTCTTTTGCTGGGGCGTCGACACCGCTGCATGATATGCAAGTAACTCAAGCCCGAAGCCTTTCAATCCACCAGCGTTACCCGGACAGTCTACTGCGTCATACGATGCCATGAGACAAGCCACAGCTCTGCGATGATCCGCGTCGCCACCGGCGGAAAGGGAAAGAGGCTCGATCCGACATGTGTGACGAACAAGCTCACTATGGGTCAATGCTGCTGAGCAGCACGCCTGCCCCTTGTTGATCAGGTCTTTTTTATAACCTCTAAACAACACAACACAATCATTCATCCCTTCATCGGGTAGGCAACGGCTTCCAAAAACATCCGCACGTGTCGGAATCCGTCGGGAGTTTTTTGTGCAAATACGCGTTTCGCCACAGCGGGAGCGCATATTAAGACTGAGAACGAGGTCTTAAAAAAAAAGCTGTTTTCAGAGCTAGCTTTGTGGAAACCATGGCAGGCGTGGGAGATTCGGTGTCTTACTTATTCGGGTCTTCTTTGCGCGTGGTTGAAAGGCCGAAAACACCGCGCACAACGAGGTTTTCGTGATGTCAACACTCAAAAATGCAATTTTGCCGTTTACCACAAGGTTAGTGTTTTTCTTGTACGTGGTTTCGAAGATGAGTAAGCCATGAATTTTTCAACCGCGGATGTGGCAGCAAAGAGAGATCAATGAACAAGACATATTCGTCGCATTATCGAAACATTGGGAATTGCCGCGGATTTGTGAATATCTTCGCGAAAGCTGCATCGCAGGGAATTGCATATGGCTGACTCACTCCAATATGGAGTCAGCACAACTGCACAGATTCGGCTGCACAACTGCGCACAGGAGGCTTTGGCCCACGCTCACGCAGCACGGACGTTATTAACCCCCCCCCAATCCCACCCCCCCTCCCCAAGACAAGTCCGAATCCTCGGAAATGCACGAAAACGGACGACAGTTCACGATCCGTTAGCAAAAACATGCCGAGCCCACAGACTGGAAATGTTAGAGCCTCCAGGAACCTGGAGCCGCAAAGCCCTACACCTACACCCCAATCGCCGAGCAAAGTTCCGAAACCTGGGGCCTCTCCGACAACTTGCGCAGTCAATCCTTAGGCCTCAGGCTGTCCTGCACTGGTCTCTGGTACTTGGCTACAAGCTTTTCCGGACGATGGCTTTCCTGAGGCTTCCAGATCGAATCTTGTGGTATCAGGTTTGATATGGGGCATATAGGGGCATTAATACTTAGAGTAAGGGGATATTTCCATCAATCCTACATTATGCGGTCTAGGAGGCATGTTCAGATTGTAGGGGTATGCACGGATTCACGGTCCACGCCGAAGACTTGAGGGTTGCGGGGGCGCGAGATGCTCATCACCTAGGTTCAAACAGCTCTGCTCCATGAACCGACCTCTCAGCTTATCCAAAACCCGAAGACTGACAACGCCCTGCTGCTTGCATGGAGGACGCCTTGGCGGCAGGAGCCGGCACAGCAACTGGAAAGGTCTGGGCCACTCCTGTAATCGCCAATTCCTCGGCATCCTCCTCTTCTTCTTCCTCTCGCTCCCTCTCCTCCTCTTCCGCTTCTTTCTCATCCTGCTCTTCTTCCTCCTCCACTCTCTGCTTGACCCTTTCCTCCGCCTTCTTCTCCTCCTTGTCTTCCTCATCATCCTCGTCTTCTTCATACCGTACCTCCTCCTTCCGCTTCTCTTTTTCTTCCTTTACCTCGTCCGCCTTTGCTGGCAGCTGAGGAAGCGTGGCTGTTGTGGTGGCAGGGTGGGTGCTGGGAGGTGGGGTGGCTGGGAATGTAATGGGTGCGGGAGAAGATGGAGGCTGCACTTCTGGCAGATCCTCTGGTTCTGGTGTGGGAGTCGTGGCCTCAGCAGCCTTTGCCCTCATTCGGCTTGACTCCTTGCTCGCCTGTATGGCTGTGGGAGGTGTGGGAACCGTTGTAGTCGGGGCCACAGTGCTTGGGACTTGTGTCGAAAGAGCTCGACTTGTTGAGGAAGGCGTGAGGGCCGCAGCTATTAGCCGTGCTGTTGTTGCTGCGGCAGAATTGCCCAGCTGCTCGGAGTCCTTCTCGGAGTCCTTCAGCAGTGCCTGCAGTCAAAATCAGAGTCTACTGCCAGTCCTTGTGCCGGTGTCTTTGCTTCAGCTCGCAGATATCTCGGTCATGATGCCGCGTGTAGGTAGACGTTGCAGAGCATAAGACACATGCATTGGGCCGTGGGACCCTGAGCTACGTAGACATAGAACTTGATTCGTCTCCAGTAAGTCAGATGTACGTTTCGGAAGCACGAGCCATAACCTCTCATCCTGGAAGTTTTTCCATGCTTGTCTCAGGACGCTTGGGCAGCTGCCTTGATCGACCTGGCCCCGCATTCCCGTATTGTGTCATAGTCATAAGACCGCATACTAATTGTTACAATTCTCCTGCCTTGCATGACTACCACAATTATCACTGTTGTGAAGATGACTACTGTTGTTATCGAAAGTCCGAAACTTCACTGTGAAGCTTCAACGCAAGAGGATGCCGCCCAAAGTCAGCCTGCTCCGTGGTGGTCTCCTTTTTCCTGATGCTAGCCTTGTTCAGGGTAGCGTGCAGCTCGGTCCCCATCAACGCCACAGCTCAAAACGTCTGTACAAACTTCAAACTTCAACGCCTAAATCCCCAGGTTAGCCCCGATCAGCCAGGTGCAAATCAGCCCAGGGAAGCTTCCAGAATTTCCGTGTACCCTCGGAATCCTGAAGCTTTCAGAACCCTTTCCCCAAGTCCTACTCTAAAGTTGCACAAACCCCGAGAGAAGCTTGGGCCGGGAACTGAGGGACTGTAGCCGTGGGTGGCTGTCGGAATGAGGGGCCGGACGATGGCCAGCATTGCCCCTAAACCCTAAACCCTCAGCAGAAGATGCAAAATGCACTGCTACCTTCGAAAGCCAAGCCGGAAGGTTTATGGGAAGAAGCCCGGCTGGAGGCACTGCATGGAATACTTGGACCTCGAGCCCCGAAAAGATTTCCTCTAGTGGTGGTGAAGAGGATACGTGAGTCTCGGCTGGAGGCTTGAAGTAGCCAGAAATTCATCCAGATAACCGGGCCCGAATCACCGAAAAGCTGGAGCAACCCCCACTACTTTTCGGGACCTCAGATGAACTTGTGGTGGTTTTAAGATGAGCCCCGTCCTGAAGTCCTGAAGCCGAAACCACCAAAAAGATAACCGCGGCTCTGCAACTTCCAGCTCTTCTGGCAGTTCGTGGAGGAGTTCCTCTGCAGCATGTGCAATACTACAAGACCTAAAGAGTGGGAGTTCGACAGTAACGAAGCTTTTTGGTTGACTGCATGTGGGATGTGGAGATCGGTAACGGCAACGAGAACTGCTCCCGGGGTACCAGCAAGCAAAGTGAGGTCGAGTGTTGGAGGACATGGTGGGGTGTTGCATCCACCAGGGCCATAGAGCTCAGGCTCAGGGTTCCTCACCCGAAAACGGCGAACTCAAGTAGGAGGATTGTGGATGGTTCAGTGCTTTCGATACAGCCAGACTGGAGACAGAGCATGCCGAGTCCGTTCTGCTGGAATCACCGGGCCATAGGGTCCAAGATCCCACAACCAATAAGTGAAGCTTGCAGCCGAAGCCCAATCAGTAATCCTGAACTGCGGCATGCGGCGTCAACATACATGGCACTAGCTCGTGTTTCTGTTGCTATAGACGCATGATTTCTTGCGATAGCTCGTGCATGCACCAGAATGTATAGTGAAGGCAGTTGTGCAGTAGCATCGGCAACAGCAACGTAGCAGTGATGGTAGTGGTGCTAGCGAGTTGTGACTAGTAAACGCAGCAAGAAGAAGTGATGACAGCCTTCGTGGCAGTGGCACTCGCAGTAGTGGCATTGTGGGTGCTTGTGTTGGTGCTGCTGTTGCTGCTGCTGCTGCTGGTGGTGCTGGTGGCAGCGCAACATCAGTAGCAGTGCTAGTAGTCTGCGTCGTCTTCGTCGTCGTGGTCCTATTGGCGGCAATGATAGTTGTAGAGACACTGGTGACAAGCGTGGTACTGCTGCTTGCAGAACTTATTCCTATCCTGCCGCTCGTGCGGGAGAACAACTGCCGAAAGGCCCCACGTCGGTGCAACCGAAATGGCCCCCCGAACCCCTCAAACGAGAAGCGCCTGGCAAGTTCGCTCTCTACCTGCAGGAAAAGATCTGTGTAGAGATTTCAATTTTCAGAGCGTTCCACGGTCAGCCTTTACGATTTCGGCTTTGGGAGGTCTAAACTGGAAGGCAACCGTCGAATCGACTCCGTGGCTCAGGACTACGAAAACTCCAGAAACTTCGGGCCCTTAAACAACACGTGGCAGATTTCAGATGCTGAGGGCGTGCGTCTTTGGACGCGGTCTCTTTCGACACCGTGCATGTTGTTAAGACGGGGTTGATGAGCCCAAGTCTGTAGCATGGCCCAGTGTATCGGCTTACAGATCCTTCTCCAACATACTACGACATCTTAAACAACAGAATCTAGGATCCTCCTCCCCAAAATCCTGGAAGCAAACTCTTAGCCTGCAACCCTCAACCTTCAAACCTAGAGCTTAAAACTCAAAACCTGAAATCTTAAAGTCTTAAAACCATCTGCTCACGGAAGGTCTTGGCTGGGCTTCGTGCTCTCCGAATTCCAAGGCCGATCGCCCAGGGATCGCCGAACGGCGTCGCAGTCCTTTGGGCCTCACGAGAATTGGAAAATTAAGGGTACCTTATTTGGTGGTCCTCATAGCAAGGGTCCTACTATTTAGGGTACTATATTAGGGTCCCCTATTTCCAAACTTGTTCTGCGCTTTCTTCACAGAAAAGCTTTGCTTGGTCAGTTGAAGGGCGTAAGGCACCGAGGATTTCGCGCTTTCGGTTAGGGTTTGCTGCTCACGGACACACTGTGGTACGCATGGAAAGTACTTCCAGAAGAACATGCAGCTTCTTCCAGTTTGATGAATTTCGCAAAGCAGCCAGAATAAATACTACTACTTAGGAAAGGAAAAATGCTGCTGCTTGCGCAGGTTTGTTTCATGCTGTTCACTCTAGCTGTCAAGCTGCACAACACACCAGGTCCGAACCGCCATCTACTTGCCACGCACACGCTCATGTTGCTCAGTGTGACAGCTATTGGCTGTCTGTTAGAAAAGCCGCTAGCTTGGGCCGCTACTTTTGAGCCGATGCCGGCTACAACATCTACTGGCCGATTTCATGAACATACAGCAGTATCGCATCGCAACTTGTTACTTGTTGACACCCAAAGTTGTTTCTGTTACAGTGCCTGTGCACAATGGCCCCCGTTGTTGTGGGTTGGTGTGGCTGCTAGCATACGTTCACCATGACCTGGCTTTCGTACCCACTCGGTGAAGCCTATCCATCCCCACAACGAGAAGCACTTTCATTCCCAGTGGTACTGCTGCTGCATGCTTCCACCATGGATCCAGTCGACGAATATTCCAAGACGTTCGAGAAGGGGGAATTTGTGCGGATGTTCGAGGTGGGCACTTTTGTGCTCCTACTTTCGGTATGTTGGACGAGATGCAATTGACATCTTGAGCTTCCGTCTGCATCTTTCAGCCCTTGATTGAAGATCCCTCCTTGCTCTGGGAATTCTATGGTTGATTGCTCACACACTCGAGGTTGAATCTTAGCGGAAATCCCTACACTTGGTGCCAGCCGCGATGCCAAAGTGAGATCGGCAGTGCAATGCAAATGTGATGTCGTCGCCGCTCTCTGCGGCCTGAAACACAGAATTCCCGAGTGTCTCCAGTGCACGTCATTCTCTCATTCGAGTTGCACTGGGCCTGGCAAAGACCTTTCAGATGCAGAAAGAGTGGACAGACACGAAGCAAAAAAGCAAGACAGATAACGAAAGCGTTGAAAAAAACACTGCAGCACAGAGTAATGCTCCTAGCATACATCCGAAAGGTTCAAGCTAGCAAGCATTGAAATTGAAAACTACACTCCGATGACATTCTCATTGCGTGGAAATCTTACAAGCATTAGGGCTGGCGGTTGGGCCCTGAGTGCGATGGTTAGGCCGGTTAATTAGGCTTCGCTGCTGGAAGCAGGATTCAAAACCCCGGTTCGAGACTCAAAGATGTAGCATCCAAATCGTTTGGGGACTTATGAGAGCTTGGGATTCAGGAGGCCTCGTTGCAGTACCCCCTTAGCATCTTGCGTTGACTGGAGTCTGCAAATGATGTGGGCCTTCAGCAAAGCCGCGCAGCCAGAGGTTGCCTCCCCTGGTGACAGATCGTAGTGCTGAGGATTAAAGATGGAGGGCATGAGAGGGTGTAGGACCCGTCCGTCTCGACTTGACGACCCTCAAGTTTGCCCTGACCCCGAGCCGCTCTGCTGAATCTGCTGCAACAGTACATGTCTCTGTTACGTCTGCTCTGTTTTAAAGCCCGGCTTGTGAGGCGACTATAACGCCAGGCTACAGAGCCTTGGACGTCAGTTCGGGTGGGGCCTAGGGTCCGTGTCGGACGAATAAATAAACAAATTCATACACACTTCAGATTTTTCCGATGTAGAGATAGCAGCATGAAGCAGTTGGGTGCGGGAGAAGTGGGGAAGGAGGGAGGAAGAAGGGTAACCTGGGTCAGAAGCCCTGAACATCACGCCATGTTACAGTCGCGTGGATGTGAAGTCCAGTTTATGCTTCCGAGAATGGGCAATGTTGGCTTCATGACGTTGTTGATTTTGACAGCTGTAGGCGATTCTTGTAATTATCCCTGGGCGCTTCAGCCTTACATCGCAGCACGGCAGGCCTGCGCGGCTGCTTGTCAGTTGTAGCAGCAGAACTACCCAAACGGTCCAAGCCTCCAGGTATCAAGGGCCAGGGGCTCGGGCTGTAAGAATTTTGTGGTGGAGGGCGTACGTGGCCCAGCTGCCTAGCTGCTCTGGCCCCCGGAGTTGGCCGAGAGCATAAACACTATCTACATACAGACTTCAACTTTCGAGCTAGTGGCCGGCAGAACTGGGCAACACGATCTACTGGCACCTAAGGCACTACAGGATCGAGTTGAAGGAAAACAACTCCGCCCACTGACATTGGCCTCTGGCTCAACATCCACCAGAAGTTCCGTAAGATAAATACCCCATATGCCTCATATGCCTGTGACCTAGTCATCCATGAGTCTCACAACCCACCTCTTGCCCCGAAGCCTAACAGAGACACCGCACAAACAAACGATGCAGGCCCGCAGTCAGTTCCAAAGTTCACATTGTGTCAATTCAAAGCCTTCTTCTGAATCATCATCCATATCCAGAAAAAAGTGAACCCGTGATTAGAAAAAACTCGGACAATAATCGTCTGTCTGCAAACACCCTGGGCCGAACTCGGCTGAGGAAACATAGAACAAGAAGTATGAAATTGCTTCACAGTGCTGCCGGAGTGCCATGGCCGCACGCTTTGGTTCTCTCGGTCACTGGAAGGGCCGCGTTTGAGCTCGTTCGCGCTGTCGGGATTGCAAGGCAGTTGCAGCAGTTTTCTCCATGCTTTAAACATGTACCAAGCCCTACCAGGAGAGCTGCAGCCGCTTCTAGCGCAAGCCTGCAGACCTGAACATCAGTAATGAGCAATGAACTAAGCCCAAGAGCCATACAAACTGCTTGCATATTCATCGCAACAACCACCACCATGATTGGACGGTCGTCGTGATCATCATTATCACCACCATCATCAGCACCACAACATCATCAGCATCCTCATCCTCACCATCAGCGCCATCAGCAACAAGGCGGACATCCCATCTGACAGCGTCGCCAGAACTTTTCTCTGAGACTGCTACTGCCAGTAGTTCGTCGCAATGTCTGTATTATCACAGTCCAAGAAACCAGTGGCATAAGCAGGGCTCAGCTTCGTAAATGTCACCGATGGGAGCAGCAACGAGAACGACGATGCCACCGGCTACCATCACGTACGTTCGTCCTACTCCTCCTCTAGCTTGTAACTTGTACTCGTACTGGTGCTAGCACACGTAAATTAAATCTACCATAAGCAGCCGCAGCAGGAGTAGTAGTAGCCGCCGTCGTCGTAGTCGTAGACGAAGAAGTAGTAGGAGGAGGTGTAGGTGTAGGAGTATGCGTAGGGGAAGTAGCAGTAGCAGTACCAGCAGCAGTAGCAGTAGCAGCAGCAGTAGCAGTTGCGTCATAGTAGTCGCAGTAGCAGAAGTACTATCACAGTAGTAGTTGACTCCGTATCTATACATACGTACACACGCACATGCTCCAACAGACCACTTCTTTTTCTGTCGAGTTCATTCCGAGAAGGAACATCACGCACTCTCTCTCAGTCTCTATCAACGACCAGCCATTTCTATGGAATTATAAACCTCAAAATTTATCAAGAGGGGAGGCAGATCTTCGCGCAAGTGACTTTGTGAACACCTGCCACTTGCTTTGGATAACATTGACCCATGCTATTGTCGGATTGCATCTGTATAGATGATCGTAGAGCCTCATTGCTTTGACTGCGATCCAGTGCTTTCCGTACGAACGGGTCGTCGCAAGGCACCCAGCTCTCCGCGGAAACAGCAGTCCACATCATCATTTCGGTCGAGCCATGATCTCTGCTTCTTGCGACTACGACTTCATCGTTGCTGCTGCGATCGTACAGGAGCTTTTGCGACAAATCGCCCCAGAGCACCAATTGTTGCGAGTGCCCACCTTCGCCTCACTGCTGCTGGGAAAGAATCTCACTGTCGGTCCAAGTGACAACCTCGCTTCTGTCAGCATCTGCCCAGCTGCACCTTCCTCAAGTAAAGGGGTCCCCATCATGTCAGCCAGCTTCCATCAGACATCTCCTGGATGCTCTCAGTGGCACAACTCCATCCCGAGCGGCTGAATGGCGGCCGCCACATTGGAAAGCATGGTGAGAATCAGCTCCTCAAACCGATTGCCTGGGATTTGGGATTGGGCGAGGAACAAAGGTCATTCTTTCCAAAGTCGCCCTGAATGGATTCAGCAGACCTGAAATACTACCCAAACGAAGCGACAAGAGTGTGGTGGTATAGAGCCGGTCAGGGGATAAGGGGTTCGGATCATTAAGCCCGTTCGCACTCTTTGATGCCTCATCCCAGTATTATGGAGCGAGACGGTTGTGCCCGACACAAAACCAAACCACAGCTCCGGATACTATGGAAGCACCGAACGCCGCAGAACGGAATGCAAACTTCAAGACCTTGAGCCTCACCGCTCGACAAAGCTGAATACAGCAACCAACAAGCAAACGAGCGGCCCTGAATAACCACCAATCTAGTATTTTGAGGTTCCTTATTATAACTATAATATAGCGCAGACAGCGTCCCAATGGCTCGCTTGAGTATTAAATTCTCCAATAAGGCCCCAAAGCCTAAGCCCGGGGTACAGATCCATGTCGTCCACTAGCTCCAGTCGCCAGGCGTCGAAGCGAAGTTCCTGCCAGGAGGGGCAAGCAAAAAAAGGCCTTTTCATACCATATATGCTGTGCTCTACTCATATGAGTATATAGCAATATAGCAGAACAGAATAGAAAAACTGTAATGGAATACAATGGGTTAACGATGATCATGATGAGAATATGAAGGGTCACATATTCCGAACGCGAATCATAATGACAACAGTCGATGTCATCATGGCAGCTGTACTGAAATCTTGATCTAGCATCATATAGGACACCACGCATATCATGCGCGCTACAAAAGCTCAGGCCAGCATTGACCCCAAACAATGTCAGGGCACAGAGCAGGAAGAAACCCACAAACTTAAACGGCTTCGGGTCCTATCGCCAGACTCAAGCTGCAGGCAAGACCCATCACGCTCACCCGCCCCCCCCTCGTTGCTCCGTGCTTGCTCCGGCAATCGAGAGTTAAGAGATTCAAAGACGAGCGAGTGATGCATTCCTAGGCTGAAACTTTCAGCTAGAACCTATTCTGACTAAGGCTAGAGCTCTGCAGAGAGCGTTGAGCTCAGACGCTGTCTACTGCTTTGCAACACCCTGGACCTTACTTCTCGGTGAGCCTCGCCGCAATCTGCGCATATTACATGCGGTCCGTGCCGCGTCTCGTTGGCATGCCGGCACCTGCTAGGTTTGGTTCAGCTATAAAACTTTTTATGAAACTGATAAGCTAGACAAACAGATCAAACAAAAAGCAGAACGAGCATCGCGTGGGACTTCTCATGTATTTGTCGTTGCATTTCCCGGGCGCTGCGAATTTCCGGAACCCTATTTCTAGAACCCTCAAGCCCAAAGCCCTGCAGCTCTACAGTTGTCGAAGCCCCAAAGCCCCTTCAGCCCAAGCCCTCGACCCTGAACCTCAGCCCTACAGCCCCCAAAGATCACTCGAAACGCCTCTACACCCCAAGCCCCTTTTGCCTCGCCCTGCCGGGCCGGAAGGTTACGGCGCTACCTCGGAGACAGGGTGCTGAAGCGGTTCTTTTGCGGTTGAAGGTTTCGGGTCTAGAGGTCTAGGGTTTGGTGTAAGTTTGGGGTTCAGGCTCATGATTGGGGTTAAGGGCATTTGTGGTGTACCATACTATTTTAAGGAGTGGGTTCTCCAACGGATTGAATCTTGGGCTAGGGCTAAGAAACCTGTTTTCGTGTTCCCAAACTCCCAGTCCCCAAACCCGCGCCTGCTGCATCTGCAGTGGGTGCTGCTGCCTGCTTTGGCTTTGCAAGTCCCAGAGGCCGGGAGGCAGGACCTCGGTTGCAAGGAATTTTGGGGATACATTTCCCATGCTGCCTGTTGTTGCTAAGTTTGCTCTGAAGTCTTTAGAGGCTGTATTGCACGGCACATTCCAAGAGCCCCAGAGCAAGACCAGCAAGTGCAGCCAGATTCCTGCACGAGTGAAAACATAAGTAACTCAGGCAGCTTTGTTCAACGCTCGTGAGCGGCAAGTGGTAGGCCCTGGGCTGCATCAGCACTTCGGAATTCCGCGGTATGGGCTTGTAGAATCCCCTTGTATTTGGCGCACTTCAGCTGCCTCTGTTATTTCTGCGTTTCAGTTTCGCTCAATTTTGTGAGCACGCTCCGTGACATGTCAACTGCACAGACTACCGTCTGTGCAGGTCAGATTATTCTGCGATGCTCATAAACACTGGGCGGGTGGCTTCGGCATCCCGTAGTTGACGTCTTTGATCCTCTTTGTTAGTCCGTATCGGTTGAAACACTTGCAGCAACGGTAGAAAGGAGTCTCTCAGCAAAGAAAGATCTTAAGTGTGTACGACTTGAAACAATACTCTGATACTCGAAGAGGGTGTGAAAACTCTCGAGCCATCCTGCTCATCATTCCAGGGCAAGCAGAAAGCTTTGTTTGGGTAACACATGTAAAGCTCTATGTAGGGCTGCTATGCTATATATGGTCTCAAATTTCTGAAGCTTACTGAAAGAATGTGCACTTCTCAGGCCCTGGCGGATAGGCGCAAATCGACGCCGGCCTGAGCACTGGGCAACGTCTTCGTGTAAGCCAGGGCGCAACAGGACCCGCGTTTTGGTGTTTCGGGCCTTTTCGGAACACTTCTGGAAACCACTACTCGCGCTTGATTGGCTGGGCTTCTTGACTTCTTGCAGTATAACAGGTCTCGAGATCATGGTTCTGCGCCTTTTGCGCTGTTGGAAAGAAGGGTCACCCTGGAAACAGGTGCTCCAACTGCGCATCCTCAACCTTTCATGATAGCTCAATACACCCAACTCTTATATTTATATTATATATGTACCTGTAGATGTATACCCATTCTATATGTTAGGTACACATACATGTACGCATGCATGCTGGCGCATGTATGTTTAGATGTATATGCTTTACATTATGCTGTATGCACAGATTGTCACCACTGAAACTGCGTCACAAGAAAGGTGCCAGCGTACTGCCAATTGCACATCTGCTGCATCCTTTGTCTATATGGGCTTGCCCTCCATGTTGGATACTTCGGCTGTAAGCAAAGACAAATCAAGGCTTTACGGGCCTAAATCACTAGACCAGGTTGTTGCGAGGTTGTTGCAGGCTTTCACGATGCACGGTAATTAAGAGCCTCCAAGGAATAAGTGTCCAAGTAGTACTGATTACTCAGGCCCCTGTATGATCTTCGGGGTGATGTCCGGCTGAAGACCTGATGGAAAACAAGAACAGCCTTAGATCGCCTCCCGAATGCCTTTCAGTCTGCAGCCTGGCCCCGGCTGTTCGCCACGCATCGCAGCAAGAAAATAACTGCACCCTGAGCCCTGAAGGTCCTGCAGCTTGCACCTCCGAAGAGCCTTCATCTCCAAAGCTTTAGCCCAAAGCCTCAAACCAGAATGGGAAGCCTTAAGCCGAAGAATATTGAGGCCCAGGCCCTCGGGTATGGGTGGCCCCTGAAAGGCTATGGGCTATGGGGCTCACGGATTTCGATACTTCAGGGGTTGGGGGTGTGGCTTTTACCAGGCTTGGAACAAGGGCTGTGATCGCTAGTCGTTAAGCCATGTTAAACCCTACGGCACCTAACATCCTCTTCGCAGGTTCTTGCTCTTGCTCAGGGGCAGCAAAAAAGAAAACAACTCTCCGAAAGGACACCGAGATGGAAGAACAACTGGAACCACAATCCGAAGGCATTGAAGACGGCCCTGATGAAAACAATCAGAGTATACCATGATGCCAAATTGAATCACAATAATGTGTTTTATCCTATATTGCAACCAGAACCCTGTAGTGAAGATGACATGCTTTACTCCTGAAAACTCTCCACTTGCCACAGCCCCAAGCATGGCAACCTGAACACATATCTGAAACCTCTAATAGGGCTGGGAGGCATAGTCTAGTACATCATGACAACAGCAAGGGGCTACAAGGGCACATCATCATTTCAACCCTCCCCTCTTTCTAAGCTCCAAGAAGCCAGGCCTGGACCACTTCGGCTGACAAGGCCAGGTCCAACTTCTGTGCAACAGCGGCTGTTCGACAGCGGGCTTCCTACTGTTTCTGTACGGCTGGTTTGCAGGCTCCGCTGTCTTGTGGAAACGCATGTGTACACACATTTCTATCTATAAACTTATACATATACACACACACACACACACGCATGTTTTGGAGTTGTGCAACATGTTGCCAAATAGGGCTTTAGGATGACAGGGCTCCACTGGGATGTCACTTGGGAGCAGAGCATATCGGGATGTGGAAGAGGGTGTGCATATCGATCTGTAACTCAAACCGATACCTGCTTTGACATGCTGCGGGGCAGTAGGGCAGGAGGGGCAAGAGGTCGGCATCTCCACTTGTGAAATTTTGCCAGAAGGATGTCCAAACGAATAAGATTTCCAACCCCCCCCTCCCGACGCGGGTGCCTTGCGATCGCTGGCGGCAGGGGCTTTGGGCCGACTCTTTGCGCTCGGCCCTGCAACAAAAACTGTGGAGCTGAAGGAGACTGACGTAAGGTACTCTCTGAGCCCTAAACCGCATTAGGCTTGTCGGTCTTGCATCTCAGCCCCCTGAGCCCTAAACCCGTCAAAGGAGTTTGGGATCTGCTTGAAACTGGCAACGTTTTCTTGGGTCTGGTGTTTAGCTTAGGGTTTGGTAAGTAGACTATGGATCTGATTCTTGACAGTATGCGGGTTTGGATGCATTGCAAGAAACTCTTGACAGCCTACTCACACCTTCACATAACAAAACTTTACAGAACCAGGTTTCTTTTCCTTGCCCTTTGTGCCCAGAGCGCCAGCTTCGTCTGTAAAGCCTATTTAGGGCTGTATCGGCACCTTGCAAGTGTGGTCGTTCATTGATGCCCCATCGGAGCTGTAGCACGTTTGCGTCTTAACCAGTAAGCCCACTGTTTTGAGGTTCGCTTGTTGAGGATCCCATCCTAAACTTCTGACAATCCCGGAGTAGAGTGGGCGGGGCGGAGACGGAGCCCGGCTACGAAACCAGATCAACCCGTCAACAGCAAAGGACTAGCAGAGAGGGTAAGTATGATAATGATAACAACAGTCTTCTTGCTTCCAACAACAATACTGATCAGCAGAATGTTCATGACAGGGATCATAATCACGGCCACGCTACTGATCACACAACTGAGTCAACTGACGGAGGCACCTCGGCCGCGGCTGTTGACAGGTTGGGGCGGTACGGCCGGCACCTGTGCACAAGAAGTGTAGAAGGGTTGGTGAATAGGATATTTTGGATTTGGGGATACTTCTATAGGACTCCACATGAGGCCCTGAGACTGGGAGCTTGTGAAAGTCTTGAACCTCAGCGTAGGACGGAAGGCATCAAAACATGAAGCTTTGGTCGATACCTTAAATTCGAAACCTCTGTCCTGATGGACACCCCAAAGCCCTGCATCCTGAACTCAGACACTGTTCAGCGCACTCGCCAACCCCTTTTGAAGTGAGGGCTGCCAATGTGCAAGATACTCCTCACAGCTCGCTTTTCGAGGTTTCTTCACAGACTTGAGATTGCTCGGAGTCGTGCTGTGTGAGAAACTGTTACATCTCTTTCTTGCTTGCAATCGGACAAAGGAGCACGCAAGCGCCCCCCGCGCCCGAAGGCGCACCGGTCTCACAGTCTGTGTGACACTGTCAAAAAGATGAGGATCGGCCTGGCACTAGAAAACCCCCTTTACACCCTTTACACATGCGCACGAAACCCCCGCCTCTGGCCTCCTCTCCCCCGTTTTTCGGGGGTTGCTGTGTGGTATCTGTACGTCCACCAGCGTTTGTATGCTGTGCTGCTGCAACAACGAGACAACATTGCAACGCACTTACAAATGACACTGCGCAACACAACATGCTGCAAGCACTCTGAGGGCCACGCCGTGGTTATGGGACACATACTTCAAAACTGTCACACTGCTCACACAACTTGACAGGCTACTGCACCAACCTACCTACAGTTTGTCAGGGTCCCCCACTGGTGGCTGCTCTCGACTGCTACTGGAAGGATGGCTCCCCATCTCTTTCTCTCTCTCTCTCTCTCCCGAGTTCTGCCTCGATCCCAACGTGTCTCAAAAAGGTTTGTCAAGAGCCCCCTGCCTTTGTAGGAGTCCGCTCTGCAAAAGACGGCACTGGAGGCGGTGGCTTCGCTGTGCCTAGCTGGATGAACACCAGTAGACTTTAAGGTTCACGGTCCACAAATCTGCCCTGCGAGTTCGAACGATGGGAACCGTGCGGACTTCAAATCTTGCCCTTTCGTCTGGGCTTCGAGCTGACTTCGTGAACAGCCGTCTCGGCCACGACATCGCGCTCCGCGGTTGAAGCAGCACCTGAGACCAGAACTCTTGAAGACCTAAGATCCCTCGTATAGTCCTTCAATGACTCAGCTGCGGAATTGCAACAACCTGATGCCGCATTCCACCCCACTGCTCTGCAAAGACAGCGCAGATGCATCACTTTCTGGGATCAGGTCAGCACCCATGTTTCCGACGGCTACTGTATTTATATCGGCTTCAATCCGCTCCAAAAGCTGCCAACAGAATAGGCACAGGGTATGATAGGGCTACAACAAGTAAATATTCAGTTGCAGCGCCACGGTCTGCAGCAGAAGGGCCTTGGCTGAGGCTTTGGACCTCATTGGCACTGGTGTCCTTGTCCTGTCAGGGAGAGCACAGGACACCCAAAGAACCCTAAACCCTAAACCGAAACCCTAAACCTCTATTCAGAGGAGTATGCATAGTGCCGGTACGCGCAAACACTTGTTGTAATCCGTCACGCAACTCAACTTAATTATTGAGTAAGCGACACCTTTCAAAGCCCAAAGAGCCTTAAACCATAAGCCGAAACACTCAAAACCCCACCAAAGAAACACTTAAACTCCAAAAGCCCCACCCCAAATCCTAACCCTCACAAAACCCCTTCAACAGCAGTCCCCATAAGAAGGCTCCAACGGTCCTTCGGAGCTTCGGAAGGTTCTGGACCAGCTGCCACGTCTGTCAAAGGAGCGGAAATGGGCATGTGAGCATCGGATGCTCGGCTAGCTCCTATAGGCTTCAAGTAGGGTTTGGTGATATTTTGGGTGCAGGCTTTGGGGTCTTGGGCTTGGCCTGGCTCATTGACACGACTTCTCTGGTTTTTGCGAGATGGAGAAAGGAACAGGAATCGCTGTAGTAAAGTAGAGGAACAAGCCATATCACTTCCATGCTATGGAAACATACGAACCGCGTCCTTGGCGATGCTGACTAAACGTCATACTGCTACACTCTGCTGCTCCGTCTTGAACTCCACTCCACCTGTGATCAATACGTAGTGAGGTCGTGCCGATGAATTCCCAGCCTGGTTCTACTCTCTGGTATTTCAGGGTAACATGATAGAGGTCTGGGAGTTCCAAACCAAATTTTGGAAGCGGAATGTAGAGCACAGCACATCTACTTCCCATCCACCAGGCCCAAACCCCAATGCGATACAGAGAGAAGTCGAGCAGGAACCACAGTGGCTGTGACTGCTACAAGGATATACGTTGCCCTAAGCTCCAGGTGTAACCTCTCCCAGCCGCCTTGACTAAGCTGGCAAGCGTGCGCGCCAGTTGGGGCAACCAAGTGTGAATCAGACTTCAAGGCTGACATGCATGAACACTCTACAAACTTCTCGGCACCTGCGCCGGCCGCACCATGGCTTTGACTCGCGGGGCTCGGCACTCCCGTTTTCTGTAGCCTTGCCTGGAAACTTTGGGCTTCTTGGGTTAGCAAGCAGCTGCCACAGGCTTTGTACACCAACTGCATTACGCACAGGCCAGAATACTGACAGATTCGTCATTATCCCGCAAAAGGCTTGACCGCGCCATGTCTGTTGCTGTAAAGTTGACTGCCTTGCCGCCAGAGGTCCTGGCTCTGAACTAACCTGTACTTTGAGTCTCAGAGTTCATTTTGACCCCGGCAGCTAGAGTCTAGAGATTCGGCTTGTGGCCAACGCACCTGAAAGGTCTTCCTGCAAGAACCTCCGTCACGAAACAAGGACCACTCTCCCCTCTGCCGTCTAGGTCGAAATGTGAACACCATCGGCTGCTACCATAACCTTACCTGCCCCCCGACAAATCCGCCCAACAAAATGCCTGCAGTCCTCACGATTCTTCCCCAGGACCTGCCCCTCCGCGAAATCGCTTATAGTGCAACTTGAGCTGTTCAGTGTAGGGGTAACCCGAGCCCAAAAACCTTAAATCCAAAACCGAGACCCTCTGAATTGCGTAGGGGGGAAACTCAGGCTGCGGGGTGCGGAGCTGGCCCGGAAGCCCCTTTAACGGCTGACCTCCACCTTCGGCGACAAGACCTGTGGCATTTCACTTGCATGTTCAGGTCCGTTTAGCTTCTCAGGCTGTTAGTGTTTCATGGTTTGGGGTTTTAGGATTTTGAAACCTTGAGGCTGTTGGGGGGGAAGTTCGGCTTCTTTTGGCGCAGGATATGGAGGGATTCAGGGTTTAGACATCAGGATCAGGGTTCCACTTCAGATATGAGGCATGATCAATGCTTGGTCCAATCCGAGGCGTTGAAGCCGGTGGATGGATCCAGGGTCGTCCATGTGTGTACATGTGTAGCATGGGCAGTTTCCAAATATCAGTATGTTGAGGCATAGCCGAAGCATTGCTGCACACACTGCGCTGTAGAGAGGGCAATTGACGAAAAAGGGCGTCTCTGCGCCACCAGGACTCCTAGGACATGCATCTCAATATCAAGTTGTTTAACTTGTTCTCCGGGTGTGAGCTACAAGCAACCCGACGAGCTTCACGTGCTTGGGCACTCCCTGCCTCGAAGCACCATTCTCCTTTCTTTCGACTTGCGTTAGCTTCGGTGAATGCCGATGCCTCCGTGGCGCAAAGGTGCTTGGGATGAACGTTCAATACGTTGCAATAGATACGATGGGTATTTAAAAAGGGCTCAAGCTGAGGGACGACGGTATGTAATCCCAACACATCAAAACAAGAAGAACTGCGGAGGGCTCAGAAGACCTCGCAACTAATTTCTGAAAGCTGGAGAACGGCAGTCGGCAGCTCTTGAGAAAGCCATCCTGGATCTTCATCCATTCAGCACTCGTTACGCTGTCTGTGGTCCCGGCAGAGCTCGTCTTCAAACCCCCGCCCAGAACCGACAAGGATCAAACTGGGATCTGAAATTTCCGGACGGTCTTAAATAACGGTTTTGGGGCCTATTGGATGGGGAGTCTCAAGTTTGGTTTTGCTGGGTTGTTCACGGTCTGGTGTTGCAAACCTTCCAATATTCAACCTTGAAGCCAGCAACATCGAGTTCCGTCCCCCGTATCCAAGCCACGATGCCAAAACCGCGATTGTGTACTGGTGGCCCAAGCCCCCCGTGACCCCGAAGCCAGTCTGTCTGAACCCTTAATACACATCCTCATGGCCAGAACTCCTATAAACAACAACAAATAAAGTCCTGATGGACCACCAAACTCTTTTGGAACCTAAAACGCTTTCCCTTCAGAACGCCCAAAAGTTGCCCAGAGACCCAGGCCTCTTCCTCCGAAAGCTCCGCAAGCACTTCGTTCCTCGCGCGCATGATGGCATCCTCCTGAGCAAAGGAAGCTTGCGGTGGATGGGTTTGGTGTTGAGGGGTGGATTCTGGCCCTTGTAAGGGTGCTCTTCGGGGCTCCAGCAGATTAAAGACGGGGCTCTGGGGGCTTGGCGGCGGATAGTTAAGAATGGGTGGATTATACTGGAAAATGTCAGGAACCCTATGCAATCACGCAGGCTTCTGCACGTGAGGGGTTTCTAGTTTACAGTTTACTCACGGTTGAGGGTTTGGGCTTTTGGTGAAGTGCTTTGGAATCTGGAGAGTGTGTGGGGGCTAGTCTTCCTCCTATCCTGTTTGCTCGTTCGTAATACCTGTTCTCAAGCGTGTGGAAGCAACGCGTTGGACACCATTGTCAAACGTCAAAGCTGCATTCCGAAAGCAAGATGTACCAGGAATCCAGACGCCACTTCAAGCTGTGCTTCGCAACTCACAGCCTTCCTACACCCAGGCTTCTGGCCAGAACTTGTCTCGTCTGGGAAAAGCTAAGAGACATAGGAAAGATGAAACGAAAGAAAGCCCCACAGGAGATGCAACATTGACACAACCACGGAGAAAGGAAGACAGTTATATAGAGACAGGAAGAGAGACAGAGAGAGAGAGAGAGAGATCTAGAGATCCGCTCTAGAAGATTATCTCATACAGGACTCGCACGAGGCTCAAGTGTATGTGCACATGTGTAATATGCGTATATACACATATGCACACGGGTACACACGCGCACACACACACATATATGCAGGTAGACTACTTTGTGGCCATGGGCCTTGAGCCCACCCATGAACCATCAAGAACAGTGATACTGACATGTTAGTCATCATTTGTGCAATGAGTCTGGCAACGTGCTATCATACCTGGGAGCTGCAGAAAGACAGAGATAAAGCCTCGTAAGATTCTTGCTGTGAGGACCGTGCATTAAGGGACCCTAACTCGACCCTCCCCCGTATCTAGTCCGTCTAAACAAGTTTATCATGAACTCTTGGAGACCACTACAATACCTGTAACAGCGCCCGGAACCATCTCCAAGAGCCCCCGCCGCACGTCCGGAGGTCGTGAGATAACGCTTCGCCGCACGGAGTGCCTTGGGCAATAATGGATAGACAAATAGTCAGATAGTTAGATAGCTCGACAGATAGACCGACGGATGGATGGATGGATGGATGGATCGGATGCCGTGTTTCCCAGGTCTAAACGAACAATCCATGAAGTCCTCAAATCGCGGAGTCCCAGCTAAGGGGTCTCGCAACCTTGCGGTCCCAAAGCCAGATCTGAATGCTATGAACCGCCCAAGACAACAACCTGGAGCCACAAAGGACGAACACAAGGACTCCACAGTATGTATGCATTCTGCTCTGATTCTTCCATATTGTCGCTTGGGAAGATCCCACATTCTGAGGAAGCCGCTGTTCTGCAAATCGCCGCATGTTAAGGCTTCAATGCACAAAGGAACCGCAGCGGCTTGACAGGGACGCGGGGTTCACCACAGACATAGCTAAACCTGACACTCAAGTGCTGCATCCAACGGGGCCCCGGCTTTGACAACATCGGGGCTCTTTTTCGGACCGACTCGTGGCGACTTCCTGAGCAGAGAACCCCCGGCACCGTCGGTCCAAGCACTTCGGAGGCTTAAGAAAGCCTAGGGGCGGGCATCATAAGGATCCTACTGTTCAGGGCCAGGGTCCCTGGGGCATGTTGTGCTTTCGCTGTAATCAGGATCCCGACTGACGAGTATTGGCGAAGGCCCCTGTATCAAATATTGAGCACATGAACTGAACCGCTAGAGCTTTTTGAAAGGCACGTTGCGAAACAAGCTACATGCTTTCATTAGGGTCATCAGGAGCAACTGCAAAACGATATTGCCTAGATTAGAAGGACAGTTACGTGCTCGTTGGCCGGCATCGAT